GTGTGTTATTATGTTCTGGACTGCTAAGCAAAAAGGTTCAAGTCCATCAGTTTTACTACAGGAGAAAGATAAACCAAATGGCAACAAATCTGGAGGACAGAACAGAAGTGCTTCATAGCATATTTTCATATCTTTCTTCCCCAGGGATAAGCTGGTGGATTTGATCTATTGACCTTTTAGTTAGTCTGCAAGCACTGTAACCATTATGCCTCCAGGGTTTGTGAAGATCCAAGTAGCAACATTTAATAACTGGAAATTCCTCTTGTATTGCTACTTAACTCACAGATTCAAACTTACCCTATTCCATGCCTAAGGTTTAAAAAATAACCAAGTCTAAAGTTGTTATTTTTACGTACCATAGAAACAGAGCCAACTTATAGCTGATCCTTCAGAGGGTTTTCAGAGGCAGTAAATCACGCAGGAGGACACTGTCCATCTTTCTCCAGAGAAGCAGCTAGAAGATTCAAACCATGGGCTTTTCTGTTGGCAACATAACTCCTAACCACTAAGCCACCAGGGCTCCCTAACCTAGAGTAGGTAAGGTTAGAATGTTACAACTACACAACACAAAACACCAAACCAGTCGCCTTTTATTCTGACTCATGTATGCTGTATAGGTTTATAATGGTCAATTTTTCAGACGGGTTTTTTAGTTAGGAAGCAAGTTCATTAAGCCTTCATACCCTTAACAGACACTCATAGAATTCTATAACTATCATATTCAGCAAAATCACTGCAGTTATCATTCCATTTCTCCCTGCAAAGTATACTAACAGAAAGTAAATTGTGAGAGAAATGAATTAACAATATAAACCATGCCTTACACTTCTCATACCAACAGACGTTATTATTATTGCTAGGTGAAGCTGAGTTAAATATGACTCATAACGACCATATGAACAACAGGTCAGAACCCCATCCTTTGCTGTTCCATCTTCATCATCTCTAGCAAACTTGAGCCCACTGCTACAGTCACTGTCAATTCACCACTGGAGGTTTTTTCTCTTACACTGCCCCTATATATTGCCAAGCCTGAGGTCCCTTTCCAAGGACTAGCCTCTCCTAGCAACACGTCCAAAGTATGTGAGATGGTGCTTCATCATCTTTGCCTCCAAGGAGCACTCTGGGTGCAGTTTGTCCAAGACTTTTCTGTTTGTTCTTTTGGCAGTCCACAGGACGCTGACTTCTAAGCCATGCTAAATCGGCATGCCAATCCAATGAAAGCTAATCTTTGAAGGTCTTTTACCTTTTAAAAGATCCCTCAATTCAACTCAACTCACTGTCATTAAGTGAGAGCAGGTCATAGTTGACCTTCCCAGTGGATTTCTGAGAGGATGGATGAAAATCCCATGAGAGAAGATGGCTTATCTTTCTTCCTCAGAGCTGAGGAGTCAAACTGACAAAGATGTGTGGAATTTGGGTTACTAGCAGCACAAAAATTCCGTAAGGACCATACCACCGAAGTTTTCCCACTCAAAACTCACTGCTTTCAAGTCAGAACCAACTCATAGCTGCCCAGTGGGTTTTCAGAGGCTGTAAACTGCACAGAAGACTGTTCATCTTTCTCCCTTAGAGTGGCCGATAGACTCAATACACTAGACTTATTGTTGACAGTGAAACTCCCTATGTTCTAGGCTATTAAAGCTCCTTAGAAAGACTCCTAGAAAAGTAAAAACAATAATAACAATAAATTTTGTTATTGAGGGAAATACATAATGCTCATCTAACTGATTTTCTTAATAATGGATCCAACAATTAGCTTACAACTCACATAGTGGAAAGAGGTACATACACATTACAAGTACACACAGTCCTTTCTATGTCATAACTCCTCCACTGCACAGAACTGTGCAAGCCCAGAAAGAAGAATAATTTAAAATCTTGCCTAAAGTATAAATTGACCATTTTTAAAGCATAAAGATTAAAATTATTTTACTTGTACTTTCACAAGTTAAATAATTTGAATCTCTGTGCTTTAAAAATTATCCAGATAAATGTTTTCCTCTACCTGTCACTCTGGAGACTAAGATATGCCTGATACAGGCCATGATCTTTGTAATCACTTGCTATGCAGCAGAGAGCTGGACAATGACTAGGGAGGATAGAAGGAGAATTGATGACTTTGAGCTGTGGTATTGGAGAAGAGTACTAGATATACCATGGACTGCTAAGAAAAGAAATAGGTTCAGTTAAACCAGGCTTCTCCTTGAAGGCAAGGATTCTGAAGCTTCGTCCGACATACTTTGGTCATGTTCAAGAAGAGACTAGTCCTTGGAGAAGGATGTCATGCTTGGGAGCATGAAGGGACAGTTCAAGAGAGGAAGACCCTCTATGAGCTGGATTTATTCAATCACTGGGGCAATGGGGGTAGATGTGTCAGAGACAGTGAGATTGGCACAGGACAGAATAGGGTTTAGGGCTGTTGTACAAAGGGTCACTATGAGTCACAAGCGACCCAATGGCGCATAACAACAACCACGCACTACCACTGAAGAGATTGCAACTTGTAATGTCCCTAGAGGATAGAATGGTCATTGTTGTGTGCTACTGAGTGAGAACTGATGCATAGCTGACCTTCCAGTAGGTTTTCAGAGGTAGTACATTGCATGGGAGAAGATTCCCCATCCTTCCATGGAGCATCTAGTGGATTCTAACCACATGCTTTTGGGATTGCAGCACAGCTTCTTACCAGTAGGCCATCAGAACTCACACAGAACAGACCAGAATCACCCTATCCAAGACCATGAATCTCTCATCTTTTCTCACTGAATAGCTTGTGGATTTAAGCATAACGGTCAAGCAGCCCTGAGAACTACATTGCTGGATATGAGATTTCATTGTGGTACCACAACAATTTTCCCATCTGAGTCATGTAATGTGGTTTAACCAGGTTATTTTTTTTAGCATTTTTCACATTTCAGAAACATATTTCAAGTACTGAATTTTACTTCTGATTGTTTTCACGTGCCACTTAGAAAAAAGAAGACAGCAAATGGTTCACCCTCTACCACATATCATGGCAATTAGACATTCTTTACAAACAAATGTCTGTACTGCAATCACCAAGGACTAGAGGGGACAACAAAACATGTGGAGGAAAACAGGTGAAGAAGTAACTCTTGTAAGATTATTTTACAGGTCTGAAAGCAATTTTTCTGTTTCCATATTAAATAAGCAAGACCCTGGCATAAGTATCTCTTTGCAGACTTTCCGTAATCTAGGTAATAAAGTGAATCTCTCATTATACATGATGAACAAAGTGATTACTAAGAGGCTGCATTGCAAAAATTACGGGCAACATGGTGAGCTTACACAGACTGACTTACACAGAGCAGTCACTAACATACAAACAATACAAACAAAAAGCTCAAACTTCCTAGGTTTCTTCTAACTGCCTAGATTTCATTCTACTTTTCTTATTACAAAGTTACAGCTCTAAAGTGCAAACACAAAGTTATTTCTTTCCTAAGACATTTTAATTTTCTTGTAAATTCTTATAGCTTTCAACTCTAAACCCTGTGTATGAGAAGAGTATTTTCTTCACCCCTAAGTCTCCAGATAAAGAAACTCCCCTGCAGCCCCTCTCTCAGCCCTACTGCACGCAATGGCCTGAAGTCCGGGAACATGCTGACAGAATCTGCCAATACACAGGCAAGCAGAGTAAGTAGGGCAGAGTGACGCTCCCTGGGACTGAAAAAGGCCCCACTGGCCAAACAAGAATAGTTAGAGATGTTCAAGAAACTGAAATCATTGCAAATGGAATCATTTGGACTCCAAAATTGCATGAGATTGCAAAAGACAAAGAAAATAGGTATTAATACTAACATAAAAATAATTTTTAAATTTAGTATTTATTTGTCACATACCAACTGCTTTTTCTTTCATTCCTTTCTGGTTCTGATCTTTGGAAAAACCACATCGGTATCAAATGTCACTTCGTTCTTATTCAAACAGAGGAAGGCAGACAGAGCGGCTGCACCAGTGACTTAGCTGACCCCAGCCCTCAGTAAAAACAAACCTCCATAAATCACCAGATGTAAGCAATTGGGGAGTGATCATTTTAATTAATTGAACAGCTTTCCTGAAATTTACTATATAATTTCAAGCCTCCAAACACCTTTGCCAGAAGCAACTGATTTTTTTTTAAGTTGTTTAAGAGTGAAACATTTTTAACTCTGGCTTAAATCTGGTTTCTAAGATTAAGGTAGTCAGCCATTTAATTTTAAAAAATGAAATCATCAAATGCTACCTTCAAATGCCAAAAGCCAAAATCGTTTCCAAATTTTGTCTTTAATGCATGATGAATATAAACATGTTATCTGCCCTCAAAATACAGAAAATCTAATACAATTTTCTCTGAAAACTTCTTACCTGACACGCAAGATTTCTGAGTTCAATTGTATATTTCATTTCAATGGTATAAAATGATAATTTGATGTGATGTTTCTCAACCAGATACCCACTGCATATACCATGTTGAAGCATTTCCCCTTATAAACAACTGCCGGCCATTCCCTAATTAAGAACTACAGAGTATCAAATCCACCAGATGTTCCCCTGGAGAAGGAAGGGCAATCTCCTCCTGTGCCTGTCAGATCCGATTTGACGATACACAACAACAACAACAAAAGAATACCTAACCCAGAGATCCCAAGCCAGCCAGTCATGGCAGCAACACTAGAATTAAAATCCTAGTCTACAGAATACAATCAAATATTTGTCTCTACAGAGTGAAGGTGGCTTCTCAGAGTCTTGAAAAATAGCTCAGTAATGCAGCAAAGTATCTAGGGCATTGTTACAATACTTGAAATTGAGGAATCATACTTTAAGCTGGAGAACTACTCAAGCAATTTAATGAGCCCTTCTCCATTATCATCTGAAGGTAAGCATCAAAAAGGTCACATACTCTGGTTATAAATACTTGACTCTAGTCAACTGGTCCATGTGAACTCATGATCTCTGCAGCAAACATATGTAAAATCTGATTAATATTCACTTACAATGAGAGAAAGGTAATGTTTCTTGAGACAGGTCCTAGATTTGGAATGGTCTCCAATTCATTGTTGTTCAGTTTCCTAGAAATGTTCCCAAGAAAGAATCTGATTAGATATAATTCACAGAGGTAAAAACTCTCAAATTTTTTTCCAAAGGTTCTTCTTTAGTCAAATGTCTAAATAGTTTTTTATAATCCAAATGTCCTTTCCAGTTAAACAGTGTGATGGGTAAAACCTATTTTACTTAAACCTCACAGAGAAATAAAACTCACATTTCCCGAAGGTTTTGAAGGTGGCTCATGGAACTTGTTTTGAAGAAAGACAATCTGTTGTGGCCCAAGTCCCTAATGAAAAAATAAATAAATAAAATTATAAGCAGTTTCTAAAAATCCCAAATAGTGCTTTGTAACGCCTATAAACTGTCTCTATCAACACCAGTGACAACTTAAGAAATCACTGGCCTGGCCTGTCCACAAACCAAATGGCAACAAAAATGTCAAATGCAAAAACACAAACTCTGGGAGCAAAATTAGTTTAGGAGGCTGGCAAGATTCAAATGCTTAAGCCCACAAACGTTTTAAGAGATGGTTTTTGGCACACGGTGAACAGATCTTTTGTGAACTGGTTGTTTGGCTTTACCTTCCCCACCCCCTTTCCATCTCCCCACTCCCAACTTGATATGATGAAGTCATGGCTTATGAAAAGTGGCTAATTAGGAAGGCTGCTGAAACTGAAGTCTTAAAGAAACCCTTTTATTATCATAAAACTAAGCATCAATGTCCTTACTACAGTTAAACAAAACAGAAATTGCTTTCACACATTATTTGTTTCTCTAGATTAAGATACCAAATATTTACACTTGACGGGTGCACTTATGTGTGTGTCTGTCAAGTGTAGACAACAATTTTAACCCTCTGTTTTCCTGAATTATTAACATCTCAGTATTTGGTGATTTAATGTATAATTTAAACCATACCCACCACTTAATAAAGCTACACAGACTGGGAAGAAATCTGTGAACAGATTTTTGTTACTGTTCTTTGAATCATTAAAGAAAATCTGCTCCTAGTCTACTTTATAACATTTTTTATGGGACATTTCTGTTATTTATACATGCATCTCCTACATAACTGACACTATTAAGCTAAAAAGTCATTTAGTTTAGATTCACAACATATGATAAAATCTGGTAAATATGCTTGGCCCTATTTCCTGTATGTGCCAGTACACTGATCCTGTGCATTCAAAATGGTGTATATTATGAAAATGAAGAGGCTGAATACAGAATGCCAGGCTATCAAAGAGTATGGCTCAAAGTTCTCCACAGATTGAGATTAACCAACCTTTACTGAAGTAATTCATTCAGTGCTTAAAAATGAAAATGAACTGTTCAGATAACCGAAGCTGATTGGCAAAAGGTATGAATCATCCCTTATATATGCAGGGGGTGGGGACCAAAAACTCACACCCAGGACAACACACTGCTCGGAATGCACGTCCACTGGCTCAGAATTAGAAATCAGAGATCCGTTCCATTCTCAAATTCTTGAGTTGAGAACAAACCTGGATTTCTCTACTTCATCAAAAAAAACAAAAACAAAAAAAAAAAAAAAAAACCCAAACCCAAAACACAAGTCTGCAAAAGGTTTTATTTGAAACATGTTTGCCTAAAGACCTACCAGACAGTAACAGACATGAGCAGATTTGTTCTGGTAGAGTTATAACATGAAGGGGGAGGAAAAAAAACCTGGCACAGTCTTTCAACTATAAAAATCCTGCAATTACAACCACCGCTGTGCATGCTCCCCACTCTGGAGCCAGCCACTTTCCCTCCCAGCCCAGCTCCCGCCCATCTGGACTTCATCAAGGAAACCCGTGAGCCCAACAACTCACGGTAGGTTTCAAACAAAACCTATGTGTTTTTTAGCACCACAGACAGTCCCAGACTTCCCACAGGTTTTCAGAAACAACCAAGGAAGATGGCCCTTCACCTGGGAGGTAAGCCTGGGGGTCAACACAAAGTTGTCTTTGAAACAACTTGACTAGAGGACATTTAACCAGCCTACAGCTGGGCTCCCTCTTATTTCAAGTCACAAAAAGAAAGTGGGAACCAATCTAGCAATTTACATTTAATACAAATGATATCCTACTTAATGACACAGAGAAAAACCATACCCTTCATTTTAAGGATTCTTTCATAACACAATCTTGTGAGAAGTGATACCAGGTATTGAACTTCTCACCCCCTGCCCCACAATCCTTTCTCTCCACCAGTAATTGGATGAGATTCTCGAAAACAATAGCCTTTTAAAAATGAGAAACTGCCTTCACAGAAGAGTGCACATGTGGGGACCAATCGTTTCTGACCCAGAACCCGACCTTAAATCTTTCAGTCATTGCAACGCACGCCTATTCCCCAATTCTGTGCCTTATGACAGAATATTACATGAGGTTGTGGAAGGAAAGAAAGCAAGGAAAAAAGATTGTCCTCTTAAGTTACTTTTATTGCCAAACACAGCCCTGAAAGTTTCAATGTACCTAAATTTAGATTTAATATCGTTTGTTTCAGAAAGATTACTTTCCAAAGTATGTCACATTTTCCTACATCATCCTATACTGTTTTTTAATAGCTACACCATTAAAATCAGATTCCAACTGTGTGTTTTCTTAAACCCACAGGGACATAAAACATTCAAAATGGAAGGTGGAGTCTTCATTTTCAGATTTCCATTTATGAACAGCTTTCCTAGAATTGTCTGGAAGGGGGAAGGGTGGGAGGTTAATCCTTGGGAAAGAGGTGCAGCAGGGAGGTGTTAACTACTTCTCCAGAACTCAAGCTGGCCAAATACTTGAAAATCCAACTCTTTACCAAGGCAGAGAAATCTCTTTGGCATTATTAACAGAGAAT